GGTGAAACAGTGGCACAGAAGCCTTCGTTAATGATCTCCACAACCAGAAAACGCCCGAGCCACGGTGACACTAACAACCCCCTAGAACTCACCCGGCAGAGTGTCGGGCGCTGACGCATCATGCTTGTAGAGGCCGCGCAGATACTGGAGCCATTCGAGAAACTTCCGCTGGCGCCTCGCAGTGGACTTCGGGTACATAGTCTGATTGAAGAGTCTTGTGCCGTTGAGCTTCGATAGATCCTTAAGGCGTCCCTGCAGGTGGTTGATGACACCGTTGACGACGTCCGTGGCAAGCTGCTGTAGCGACTTCAGATCCCCCTTGCTCCGCTGCCCATCCAGCGGCTTTGTGTATAGAATGTACGTGTGCACAGTCGGCTCCCCGTGTGCGTTAATCCCCTCGATCGTCACGTCCTCAACCCCCGTGTACAGATGCAGAAAGTCAGCGAAGTCCCCCTCAGGTGGGCCGAACTGTGCGCTGTAGTTGACGTAGCGTGCGCGCAGCATCACGACGGTGTTGTCGACCATCCGAAGCACCTGGGTGACGTCGACCTGCCATACACAGACAAAAAGGGGAGGTGCTTTTGCTCGTTAATCATCACACTCCCCTAAAACCGACATGACACCAAGTGGCTTACCTGGCGACGCTGGAACTTGAGGTTAAGCGTGTTGAGCTCCCGCAGCACATCCGCCAGAAAGTACAGCAAGAAATGAAACTTCAACGAGATATAGTGACGGAAAAAACTGTATCCAATGTTGGGCTTGTTATCAAATAACTCGTATTTAACCATGTTGGGAGTATGTAGCTGACCACAAAGTGTTGGTGACATCAAATGTGGGTGGTTTAGGGTAGTGAAAAATGTATTGGTAGTTGCTAATATCGAATCAGCACTAACGAGTACACAAAAAAAGCCACGATGGTCCATGTGGACACTTACTTCCTGCCGAGACTCTAGAGCCTTTTCGACCTTGCATTTCACCCTCGGTATTGGATAGGAATCGACATCTAGCCCACAGCACGACTAGATCCTAAGCAAGTATCAGAGTAGGCTGCGGCCTATCAAGTCGCGCATTAGAGAGAGAATTACGACCCTATTGCGCCAGGGTCTAAGCATTCGTAAAATCGCTCGCACGTTAGACTTAGGCAAGAGTACAGTTCAGAAATATGCGGAGTTGGCATGTCATCGCGACGGTCGCCTAGCTGTTAGACCGACCGCCCCTCAAAACGGTCGGCCAAGCCTGCTCTCCGTGCGGATGCGACGGGGGCTTGTGCGTGCCGTGACTTCTGGCGCCGCGAAAACGAGGGTAGAGGCGGCTAAGCAACTCGAGTCGGAGCTGGGCATCAAGGTGTGCCCGCGAACGGTTCGAAATGCGCTGAAGCAGTCCGGCCTCGTTGCTGTACAGCAACCGAAGAAACCACGACTCTTAGCGCGGAACATTCGGGACAGATTGGAATTCGCACGGGCTCACCTGGATTGGACGATCGAAGACTGGAAGCGGGTAATCTGGTCTGACGAGACCAAAATCAACCGCTTCTGCAGTGATGGCCGCACCTATGCATGGATCCGTGATGGCACGGCCCTTCAAGGGCATCAGGTAAAACAGTATGTGAAGCATGGGGGCGGATCCGTAATGGTATGGGGCTGTATGTCCTATGATGGGCCCGGGTTCATGTGTAAAATTGAGGGGTGCATGGATGGGCAGCTGTACCGCGCGATCCTGCAGGACGAGCTTTCTCAAACGATCGATTATTACTCTCTGACTGCATCTGATATGATTTTCCAGCATGATAATGATCCAAAGCACAAGGGTAAACTTGTGCAGGAGTTTCTCTCTGAGCAGCCATACCCAGTCCTGCAGTGGCCTTCCTTCTCCCTTGACCTTAATCCCATTGAACACCTTTGGGCTCACCTCAAACGTGAGCTTGCAAAGTATGAACGCCCCCCCACAGGCATGCTGCAGACTTGGGAGCGTGTGCAGGAGACTTGGGAGGGGATCTCCGCTGATGTTTGTAGGGGACTGATAGATAGCATGCCCAGGAGGATTAAGGCTGTTGTTAGGGCAAAGGGGAGATGGACTCGTTACTAATTGAGGACATTGCAATGCCTTGTTTGATTTGGGAACACCCCGTATAATTCCGCCTTCACAATTTCTAGTTTACTAGTCTTAAATGGGCAAGTGGCTGCAGCAAAGATGTGCTGGGCCATTTGTCTAACAACCTCAAATGGTTGGGATAACTCTACACTCCTAATTTTTATGTTTTATACATTTTACTTACAAAAATGGCCAACATCCAGACGCTTTGTTCCGTCACTGTAACTACATGATACATCTTCCTATCCTACTCATACAGCAGAAGAATGGCGGCGGGGAACACATCAACAAGCCGCTGGATAGCCTCACCGCGACTAAGCCAACGAATCTGGTGGATGCCTTGCATTTCGAGGTTAGTTTCAGTGACGACTTCTTGCAGCTCCTTGAAACGGTTGTGGACGACGATGGACCAGCCGAGCACCTCGGCCAGTGACCGCACGACCTTGTCGAGGATGCCTAAGTCCGGGAAATCATCTGCAGTGTCCTTGGCAGCAAGAGCCTCCCTGCAAAATAACAGAAATACTTCATTACTCTCGTAATAAGCTATTGAAATATGCAATTCTCTGGAATGTCATACTCACCTATGACCAGGTGTGGAATACGGGTGCGCAGCCTAGCCATAAGGCCTGCTTGCGCAATCGTCATCGCGCTGGCTCCATCGGTGCTGATGCCGCAAATCTTGTTAAGCTCAACGCCCTGAGACTCAAGGTGGGTGAGTAGAACGGCTTGCAGAGATGCGGCGTCGCACTTCTCGACGGTGAGATGCCCGAAGAACTGTGTCACCACCGTCGTGTCACGGAGGAAGGTGAGGTAAACAATCATATGTTTACCCCGCCGGCAGTCGGTTGACTCGTCGAGTTGGATGCCCAAGAATGGTGAAGCCCTGATGTGGCTCATTTGCTTGGCGCGCAGGTAAGTGACGATTTTCTCGACCACTTGATTGAAACCGTACCTCCGCGTACATATTAGTACAGGGTAGGTCTTCTGGAACGCACGCTAAAAATCAACAGTATTTCGTGTTGGAATCACATAAAACACTTACTTGCTCTGGTAGGTACCGTTGTCCTTCAGGGGCAGGTCTGGTGTTCCCTACTCTGCCATGAACTGGACAAGTGACACAAACAACACAACAGGGACGTCAGATTTGCAGAGGAACATCACAATCGCCATGAGTCGCTTCACTCGCTTTGCCTCATCGTCCCCGTTCTCGAAGTCGACGATGGACTTCTGCTTCGCGTTTGTGCCGTCCTTCTGCTCTTTCTGCAACATCGCTGCCTCGTGCTTTTGACTGTGATGGTGCTTGCGCATCGTCTGCTTCTGTATGTCGATGCCGCCTTCGCCGTTGCGCCCATACTGGTAGTTGGGGTCATTGTTGTACCCCATACAGATGCTACACTACATGCATGGACGCCCCTCAGAGGTCTCGGAAATCAGCAGCCATGGGAAGTACCGCTGCCACTGCTCCTTAGCTTTCAACTGGAGCTCGGCGACTGTGAGGGGAAAGGGACCATCGTCGTCGTCGGAGTCGGCAGGAGATGCTCCGGCAGACCGGGATCGCACCTGGACAGAGGGTGTAGACTGAGCCACCGCTGGTCAGCCAAACGTAAGCTTGCGATGTCGATACTTCTTGCCAGGAGCGCGGCCTGGTAGGACAGGACCGCGCGTCACGCGTGAAGGGGAGATGGCTCGCACGGTTGAGCAGCCAGGTGTTGACAACGGGTTAGGTGACGTTGGAGCATCACATGTAGAGTTTTCTTTGTCAAAGAAAACCCACGGCTCGTCGTCTAACGGTGGGAGAGGCGACGGAGGTGCCTCACCCACGGCTGCAATCGGAGCATCGCCGATGACGGCTCGGTTCAACGCGCCAGTGAGGAGATCTAGACCACTAACAATCGGAGGGGTTGAGCCAGGGGGCTCCAAGCCTACAACTGACTGCCTAACTGGGGAGGGGCTCGACTGCGCTCTCTCTGACGCCATCGCTGCCTAGCCACAGAGTTAGAGGGTGTGAGCCGAGCAAGATTGGAGCCATGCTGAGGGGGCTGGAAGAACGAGGTGGAGCAAGACAAGTGGCTATAAGGCTTTTCCCTCGGTGCCTTTACCTTAAGGCGCCTCGCTGAGCTGCAGCATGGCGAGCGAGGTTGCTGCATGGTTACGAAACAGCACTGCATTTCTGGTTCGTGGTGGGTGGCTTTCCTGGCCGCACCACTGTGCGCTGGCACATTGCTGCCAGCTTCAAGATGCAAGGAAGCTGGCAGCCGTGCAAGTGACGCACTATCGGAGGAGCGCCTGGCAGCAACCTAACTCAGGTTGCTGCCGATTTCATTTCGTGACTATACGATGGCCGTTGCGGTGCCCATGGAAATAAATGCACCTGCCCACTGACCACGACCAGGATGGCAGAGTGTGGGCCAGTGGGCAGGTGACCCATTGGCGCAGTGGGATCATGGGCGATTGCTGTCAGACGAAATTGTATACGCTATCTGACATTTCAGACAAAAAAATACACCAAGTCTGAACTTTCAGACGAAATCTTATGACTGAGATGGACAATCAGACGAAATAATTCACCCCGTCAAAAAATCAGATGAAAGCAAAAAAAAAACAGGTCTGATTTTCAGACCATTAGACAGATTTCGTCTGATATCTGAGACCCTGTTCTTGATGTTTCACGAGAGACAATTAGGTGATGATGAAAGAAAATGGGTTGTGCTTTATTTAATAAGGCATGTATTATGTATCCCATACACACCATATGGATTTGAGTGAAGATTAGCTGTATAAACTGTTTAGGGATTTTGTAGTGCTTTATGCTCTTCTCTATGAGATCCCTTAATAGAGCATCACCTAATAACGGATACCCTCCTGATAATCTGCAGGTTCCTTATGTGTCAGAGCAGGAAAGCCCTAAGCTTTTCATCAACATGTCGAGACTCATGGCTCGTTCTCGCTCGCGTCTCCGGCTGTCTCAGCGCTGGCCTGGCGCGTCGGTCGTCGTGACTAGAATGTGAGGTGGTGTCTATTTAGTTCCTTCCATACGCTCAGCTCCGCGACTCGTTCTCGGCCGTTCTAATCACTCGACCGTGCAACTTCTCTTCTCTAATTACCTCGCCTCGTCATCGCGGTGTAACGTATTTTTCTTACAATCGTGTCTGCTCCGCACGTCAAAATCTCCCTTTCGTTCCTCCCGAATGTGTCCACCCCGCGATCCCCGTCAGCGTCATCCTCGCCCTCGTGTCAGTATCCGTCGATGCAGCCGATTCCGCCGTCGCCGCGATTCCCGCTGTGCTGGAGGTGGGTCGGGAGCTCCAGAACGTGAGCATGGCGTTCGCCGGCCGTTACGGTGCCGGCCGTCATGACGCTGGCGACTCTACCACCGGGAAGAGCGCGGAGGAGGAGGGCGAGGACGTGAAGGAGGGGCGTTTTTTCGGCCTCCATGGGTTGAAGCCCAGCATGGGATACGAGATCAAGATTTCCTTTCCTGCTAGTGTGCGTACCTGTTTGGAAGGTGTCAAGCTTCCGCTTTCCAGATTTGAGTTCCTCCCGCGGAACATCTCCACCTACCTCTCTAGGCTCTAGCGTGCCCCTTTCTTCTTATGCTCCCATCCCTTTCCTATCCCTCTCCCCCTCAGGTCCTCCCGCTATTTACACACACATTCCACATCCCCCTTCACACATGCAACACTGTCACGTGCACGCGCCATGAATACCCCATTCTCCTTTTTCCCTCCCCCTCCCACCACATACCCACACAAGAACACGTACACGTGAATGCATACCCTTTTGCCCTTTAACACACACACACACGCACGCACACACACACACTCACACACACACACACACACACACACACACACACACACACACACACACACACACACACACGCCCACACACACTCATGTCCGTACATGCTTCGCACCCCACCCCGCAGCTGCCAGCTCGCTTCCACCTCGCCGTGGTAGCAGTGGACCCAGCAGCTGCCGCAGACAGCACCCCAGGAGGAGCAGCCGGTGCGTGGGGTGACCTGGCGAGCGGGCTAGCAGCCAAGTCGCGCAAGATGCTGGACACGGAGAAGGTCATCTTCAGGACGGACAAGCACTCCAATGTGCTCGTATGTCTGTCCACTGATGTTCGGTGTGTAGAGCAATGATATTAGGTGTGATGCACGTGTAGGGCTAGAAGCCTTGATGTTCATTGGGAAACTGCTACGGGGTTCTTAGTTCCGCCATGAGGTGAATTGCTCGGCTGTGGGGTTAGCACCTTGGCAGAAGGGGTTGCTCGTTCGGGCTTGGATCTGCTAGCTCGGCTGTGGCGTTGTTAGCTGACCACATGTGCTACCACTGTCACACTGTGCAAGTGCACAAGAGCTGCAGGGTGCCACTGCAAGTGCCACTGCTAGCGTGGCAAGCACCTGCTGTTGTGCGCGCGCCAAAGAGCAGTGGGTGGAAGTCACCGGTGCCTGCGGCATTGTGTGCACGGTGGCAGGGCCATGGCGCAGGGTGGGGTGGAATTCAAGGGTGTGAGCGCGGAGTCCGTGGACTGAAAGGGCGGAGGCCAGACAGATAATGCCTTGGCATCGTTCAATCAAGGAGACGAGGGGGCGTTGCCGACAATTCCTGTCCCCGCTCATCTTTCCCTCTTTCCTCCCTTCCTTGCTCCTTGTTCAGCTGCAAGGTCGGCCGCTCCTGCCTTCTGCAGCAGTGCATGTATGGGCTGAGCCCACAGCAGTGGTCCCAGGGGGTTCCATGGGTGGTGATGGAGGGGCAGAGAACGTCCTTTTTAACATCGGTGAGTGCTGGTTGATTGTGCTGTTGTTTGTCAAGAGTCTTCTATATTGCCCTCTAATGCCAGTGGAGATACAGGGTAGTGGTCTCAGAGTGTTGCATGGACGTTATATGGGATTGCATTTTTACTCCTGAACTTATTGATGAGGTGGCTTTTCTGCTCCACCCTCATGGCAGTTTGTGAGGAACTTCGCCTGGGCATTCCAATCAGTGCCTTTCGACTTGCTGCGTTTGGCATCATTCTTCTCTCTCTTGTGCTGTTTGTGGCACATCAAGCTCCCTTGGTTTCCCTGGTTTCGCTTGCAGATTCTCTCCCCAATGGTGCCATTGGTCCAAACCGTAGGTTCAAAGAGAGAATTTCTTGAAGGATGTTTCTCCATTGTAAGCACTAATAGTCTGGTAAAAAACTTTGGATTTTGCGCGATACACGACACCATGCATTCCGCATGCAGTATTCTCTGTCGTTACTCTATCCACGATCGACACCTTCTTGTCGTTTTCTCGCGAAGCAGGCTCCGCACTTTCGTCGCCGAAGAAATTCGACGACCGGCAAGCTCGCCTTCCTTTCTCACCACACGCGTTGCGCCGCCGCGGTCGGTCGGTGCCTCCGTCGCATTGCGTTGGTGCTGACTCACCACCACCATCACTCCGCGTCACTGATGCGCAATGGCGGAACTCTCCGCTCTTTCCCCTGTTTTCCCAAACATGTTCCCCTTCCAATTTACCGCCCCATCGCCCCATTTCCAAATTTCTTGTCGTCCCTCCCCTCCCTTCGCCCCTTCCCCTCCCCTTCCCTCCCCTACCACCCCCCCTCCCCCAACCCTTCCCCTCCCCTGCCTTTCCGTCTCATCATAACCCGTTTCGTTCCATCTTGGGGAACCCAGCAGCAGTAGTCCCCCGAATCCGCAAGACTTTCTTCGGGTGGAGCGTAGGGGCGCTCTTGGCGGAGTTCTGCTGGCTGGTGCTGGGCGAAACAGCGCGCGCAGCCACAGGAAATAGGCGCGTTCTTCTTTCCGCATGCGGCGCCAAATGGTGCAGTCGCCGTCCAATATGAAATGAGACCAGCTGCTGGTGTTCTGTCGAGACTAGGACAGTAAAGATTTAGGTACAACGCTGAAGAGCAAAGCCTTTGATCCGCTCTAGGTTCCTTGCAAGCCTCTGAGTTCAATCTAGCTGCCACATCCTCCTTATTCACACACCAGATTGCGTCAACTTCAAGGCTACTACGACTACCACGGTATTTTGGGTCGCATTATAATCTCATATGGGTCCGCCACGTCGTCTCGACCTCCCGCAGCAGCCGTCGCATCGCGCGGCGCTTGAATCGGCCGACCTGCCGTCGCAAATCGACATCCTGCAGGCCATGATGGCGCGCCACGGCCGGCCTCTCCCCGGCCGGCAGCACCAGAAGCACGTCCACCAAAACCACGCGAGTCCCGCAAGTCCCGCAACCCGGCCCGCGGACTCGGCCGGTGGGGAAGACAGGGACGGCGGCGGCGCGTCGAGCGAAGAGGAGCGATCGCAGGGGATGATTGAGGAGAGCAGCAGCAGCCGGAGCAGCACCAGTGGCGAGCACAGCACCGCTGACGCGCATCCGCCGTGCACTGCAGGCGACAGCATCAGCGGCAGCGG